TTCTAAAATATTTGCTCTGGTCTCAAATGTTAAGTATACCAAACTTAACTGACAATAACTGGTGATCCTCAACCTGCAAAGATTGGTGTTTCCAAAATTCATTTCTATATATTAATTGATTGACAGTCAGAGACTATTTTCCAAAATATTTTAAAGGACCGTTAAGTTATGGAGTTAAAGTAAAAAAAAAAAAAAAAAAAAAAAAGAATTTCTATTATTCACATCAATCCCATTTTCATGGCATAATATTCAAGTTTATTTGCTCACAGATAAAAGAGGTTTTTAATCTCATAACATAAATTGAAAGGGCAGAATAACAGTACTTTACCACTCTTACCCCACCCCCATTACCTCCTATTGTCATTTGGAAGTTAACTGGCTTTACAGACCCAGGTTACTCCATTCTCATCTCAAATTTAAGATACGAAAATTTCAGAAATACTCATAATTTTAAGAAAGCATAGAAATTTACTTATTAATTAAAATAAATAAATTGTTTCAATCAAATTTTGCTGAACCATTATCCTTCATACTACTTTTTTAGAGGTTGACAATTTAGAAGACAGCACAAGATTTTCATAAACAAATAAGACAGAGAGGGGTCAGGGGGAGAAAAATTGGAAAACTTCCAACATACTGCCCTCAGAAATGGGACTTAAGCAACAATCCAATTAAGAAAGCAAGCAGTCAAAAGAAAAATAATTAAAATAACCACATAGTAGTAACTTGGACACCAAGTATGACAGTATCTAAATCAACCTAATTAAAGAATTTTTAAAGTCTGGAACGACTGAAGCTGTTAATAAAAACATGAAAATATTATGACATTTATCTGAGAATATAAAAAAAATAGCTGTTACAAATCTACCAAAGCCACAGTCACAAACTGTACAACCCACATATCCAGAAACTGTGCAGTGTATGGAAGAGGCAGGCGGGTTTCACTCTCATCAGGTCTGTGATTCAAATGGTAAGCAAAACAGTTCCAACATGGGGAAAAAACCCCGTGGCCTCTTAGGAGCTGAGTGGGTAATATTAGTTAGAAGGAAGGCATACACAGCAAAAAGACACCTGCTAGTATGGCTGCCCCTCTCCTAGACCATTCCAGAGACCTGGGTTCGAATCCAAGATCTGCCAGTGACAAGCTATATAGTCTTCAAATGACTTTACACCCTCAACTTCCATACCTGTAAAATGAGAGGGTTAGGCTGGTAAGAATCTATGGCTTCTTCCAGCTCTAAACCTTTTAACTCTAAAGGCAGTCGATTTATAAGTTTTTAGACAACTGATTAATAGCATATCATGCTTTTGTGCCCATTAGTAAAACACAGGAAATTAACTCAAACCACTCAGCTATGACCAAAAGATTACACCTACACCTAAGCTGCTGCATAATAGAATGACAAAGCTGCAATGTAACAAAGAAGGGAAAAAAAGATGCCACGTTTGGCATATGCCAAGCTGAAACAGTCCAAGTCATAACCAAAACTAAATATTATTATGAAACAGTATTTAGGTAATTCAAACAAACCAACTAGTGAGAACTCAGTTGAAGTTAACATAGAGAAAACAGAATTGTTTGAAAATTTCACTGGTTTTGGTATTATATAAACACATTCAGGTTTTGAATATAGTAAAAGCAGAGTTAATGTTAAATGATCAAAAGACTATTTTTGCATATTTGCTAAGAATCTGGCATATAAATTACCTTCCTTTTGAAATGATAAATAATATTTATATTTTAGACAAAATGCTTTATGTTTTTATTTTTGCATCAAAAATAATAAAATAATATATAGCTTTTTGAAGCAGTTTAAGGGGAAGCCAAATATTTAAATATTTAAGAGTAATTTAACTCAGCTGAAATGATCTAGCATTAATCCAGAAGAGTAGCAGATACAACTCCTCAAAAATATTTACTGACTTACTCTACTATATAACAAAATTACGTGGTACATCATTATCTTCAATAAATATTTATTAAGCTTTTAAAACACTACGTGCAAAACATTCATATTAAGGTTACATGAAATATATAGTCTCTACAGCTGAGGAACTTACAGCCAAATTAGAGAAACAAAGTATATTTATAAACACAATAAATAGTGTGCAAATGTGTATTATTAAGTATCAAATAAGAAGTACAGACAATAAATGTTACAGTAATTCAGAGTAAGGCAAACCCAAAAAGGCCCAGGTTGGTCAGGGCAGTTCTTGGGAGGAGACACATAAGTTTGGTATTAAAAGAAGACTTTTAAGAATGGTTTGATGCTAAGCACAGAGAACACAAAGCAACTGTTCCTGCTCTTTGCAACCTTATACCCAATCTTATACTAGTTACATCCGTAAGTGATAACTGGACTAAACTATATCAAAAGTGCAACAACTGGGGCTTCCCTAGTGGCGCAGTGGTTGAGAGTCTGCCTGCCGATGCAGGGGACACGGGTTCGTGCCCCGGTCCAGGAAGATCCCACATGCCGCGGAGCAGCTGGGCCCGTGAGCCATAGCCTCTGAGCCTGTGGGTCCGGAGCCTGTGCTCCGCAACGGGAGAGGCCACAACAGTGAGAGGCCTGCGTACAGCAAAAAAAAAAAAAAAAAAAAAAATGGTACAGCAGGAGTTTTAACTCAAGACAGTGTGTCAGATTCCCAAGCCATGCTAACAATAACATTGAAGAGGTGAGTTCTGCTGACTCATTTCCAAAAGAAATAAAATCTTATTTTAATGGTTACCTTTATAATGTCTAATTTTGAAATACAAGCTATTGCCAAGTTCCAAACATAGTTCTATTAACAAACCTCTACTGGTGTGAATTTATTAATAAACTCTTCATGAGTGAAAACTCTATAAAGCAGATAGCAGTAAAATTTCTATCAGTCAATGTATTACTCATGATATCATTCTTTGGTATTTCCCATAAGTATATGTGACTATAAAATTGACAGTTTCCAAGTTGGTACCTAAAGCAAGCAGGTCTTATTGTATGTTTCAGAAACTGAAGGGTGTTGGCTGAAACACAGCCCTATTATCAGACTGTTCCAGTCTCCTGCATTGTCTTAGTAACAGAGGTTAAGAGACGGGGTGGGATATTTCAGTGTTAATCAGCGGCTCTCCACCTGCCCGTCCCTCCCCTGGGAACATTTGGCAACATAAATTGGCCTGGAGACATGTGTATTGTCACTACTGTGTGTGCATGTGGGGACTACAAGTAGAAGCTGCTAGGTAGCACCAGGGATGGTGCTAAACATCCTATAGTGCACAGGGCAGCCCTGCCCACTCCCAACAAGGAATTATTCAGTCTAAAATGTCAGTAGTGTCGAGGCTGAGAAACTCTAGTGTGAGATTAAATGTCTGAGGCACTTAGCAGAGAGGGTGGCGTGAGTGTTTAGAGACTGTAACTATAAACACTAAATCAGAGTCCAGTAATACTCAGGAAAGATTAGATATAGCACTCAAGCCGTGATGAGAGCGCTGGCAAGAGGGCAGCCTCCTGCTTTGTTAGGTTTGAGGTGGGTAGTGTAAAGAAAGTGATTGCAACTTCTAGTAGTACTCCAACATTTCACAGTTGTGATTTTTTTTTCTGATAAAAGAACAGGAAATTGAAAAAGTATAAGTAAAAAGAAAAGTAGTTTGCTGGAGAAAAAAGAAACTTCATTTGTTAAACTGTACACAGTTCCACTACCAGCTTACTGAGTGTTTCTATGACTTACAGCAGGGCCCTAGAGGGTTACAACCTAAAACAAAAATAATGGATGTTTTGGACACAATATAAGAGAAAATCAGAACAAATAAATATACATGTGCTTCATTCTGGACATCAGTATTCTAAAGACCAAACATGATCTCAGAAAGCCTGGGTTTTAGCTCCCAAATGTGTAAATGCTCTGATGGTATACTACTGTTCCTTCTTGGGCCTTCCTTTCTCTGAATTTGGGGACCCTCAGTCAAAAGAGAAAAAGTAAAAACTGGACACGTAGCAACCTCTGAGACAGTGCTGACATAAAACAAAAACCAAACACCAACAAGCAAAATTGCTTGAAGTTGAAAGAGTCGGACTTCAGAGGTTATCTAGTAGCAAACCCCACAATGCCAGCCTCTCTTCACATACCAACACTCCTAACAAGTGGTTAGCCAACTCCACTTAAACACTAAACTAAGGTCTATCACTTCTACTAGCTTTCAGAAACCACGAATCACTTCTCACGTAATGGGTATTGAAAGATTGCTCCTGAGCTCAAAAGAGAGCAATGTAATTGATCTAAGTTGCTCCTGCTTCACAGATACCAACTGTTTCTCATTATCAACATTTCCTTAAGCAGAAAAAAAAGCTCACCATCCAAAGACGATTCTAAACTACAATTGGCCAAATCTGCGGGCGTATTTGCCCTTTGACAATTATCTTCTGATAGACTGAAACATTTAAGTAAATGCAGACACATGATTCATCTAAAAAGCCTTGTTTGACATTCTGTCAGTATAAGGAATGACTCATTACATCCTGAAAATGGCACGCTAGGTATGTTTTATCCTCCTACATCGCTCAGCAGGATTTATTCTCCCCTTAACTACGTAACCAATGAAAGATACTGATGGAATTCGAAGACTCCGGATCATATTGGGTAAATACGGTACTGTACTTTATACAGTTACAGTAAAGCCTCGTGGAGCCTTGGCAGATGCACGAGAGCAAAACTAAAGTGATTTATTATTGTGCCGTAAAAGAAGTAAATCCTAATTTGTTCTGTGCTGGCTTACCCCAAAAGGGTAGCGGGGGGCAAGTCCCATAAACCCAGCTTTGCTGTCGGGTTTAATTTAGTTTAAATTAACGTCACCGGCGTTGCACCAAAGTTTGAACGGTTACAGGAGGTAAGCCTCTGGCTGTTGCTTCCCCAAAACAGCCCCCTTTCAACTCGCCCCGGGCGCAGGGCGCGCAGCCTCCCAACCGGGCAGGTGGGCCCCGCGCGGCGTCTCCGCAGTGCCCACCCCGCAGCCGCTCCCTTACCTTAGTGAGCTGGGCGATTTTCTTGCTCATTTTCAGGTGCAAGTCCTGGCTGTAGTCCATGCAGTGCCCCGCCTGCTGCGCGGCGGCCGGCGAGGGCGCGAATTTGGCCGCCCCAGCCGCCGAGCCGCCGTAATAGTGCTGCTGCCAGCTCATGCCCGGGGTCGCCATCTTCCCGGCAGACCCCGGCGGGGGCACCGGTGCCCGCGCTCGGGGTGCGGCCCGCCGAGCAACGGCGACGGGGGCGCAGGAGCCGGGGCGGCCGCTTCCGGACCCGACACCCGGTGCCCGCCAGCCGCGGCCGCCCGCGCCACCCCGCCCGCGAACCCCGAGTCACCGCCGTCCAGGGACGGGGCTGCCCCGCCGGCCCGAAGCTGCGGGTGACACCGGCGCGGGGCAGATGCCCAGGGTGCGGCGGCGGCCCCGGGCCCTATCCGCTCTCACCCTCTCTTCAGCTCGCGCCTGGCGAGGGGAGACGTGGGCAGCGTGGCCCCGCAGGTCCCGCTCCCACCCGACACCCAGAGGGACAGCCGCCTAGGGAGGTGCGGAGGGAGGAGGAGACTGGGCGGGCTGCTGCGGGGGGAGGCGGGGACCTGGAGGAAGACGCGGGAGCCGCGGAGCCGCCGTTACCAGGGCTCGCGGAGCGCGCGGGGTGGCGACGTCATTTCCCCGCAGCCAAGCTCCGCCCCGCGCCGCCGCCTGCCCCGCAGCCCGGCTACCGGCGCGGGTTCCGCTTGCGGGGCTCGCAGCCAGTGTCTACCACTGCGGCGGGGAGCCCCGAGCTCCGGCCGGCTCGTGGTAAGCCCCGTGTGCCGCGCGTGCCAGAAAAAACTGGGCCGTGGTCACCTTCGGTGTGTAGAGCGCGTGCCGATTTACCGAGCCTTTCCACGTGCATCATCGCGTGCGCGGGGCCCAAGTGGCTCTTCCCCAAGAAAAGCGGCAAACTCACATCCCGCTCCCTCCCAACAATGGCCTCAGCACCGGAGACGTGCGTAATGAAGTCGCGGGGAATCCGATACCCCCTACCCAGACCCTTCCTTTCAAACTCAAACAAACATGATTGTTAAGAGTGTCTTAGGCTGACCGACTACGTGCCAGGCACTGGTCCCTCATTCAACACCAAGTGTCTATGTGGAGAGAACACATTTCATCAGTCAATTGGTATAGCATTGCACCACTACTTCTTCCCAGTCTAATGGAGCCCCAGACAATTATATATGAAATCTATTTGGCTGCAAGTAAAGGGGAAAACAGAAGCTGAACAAGATGTCCTTAAGGATTTGGAGCTGGGCTAAAATGTGTCATTACTTGTGCATTTTCACCTTACTAAATGTGTTATTTCCTACTAATTTTCTCCTAACATCTCTACTTCTGCAGGTCAAATAATTTTTTTTAACGTACTGTCCTCTGTTGAAGTAAATCAGTCATTTTAGAGCATTGTCTGAATCCTCTCCTGTTATAATATGTAATTTCTCTTTAGCATGCAACTAACCACCATATAAATCTGATATTATTAACAAATCCGATTGGGGGCCATATTAAAGTATTTGTGACAAAATCTGAACCTACAAGATGAAGGTCAAATAGGATCTTGAAATACTTCTGGAACTGTTGGAATTCCAGAAAGGAATTTTGAAATTGGCTACCTCTTTTCCCAGATGCTAAGTACTCAGCCTTCCCTCTAACAGAACTTTCAGAAAATAAGTTGTCTAGTTCCAAGGTCCTGAGTGGAGCAGATGGCCAGAAACAAATACCATGCAAATTTTGCTCCCTTCTTAAACTCTAATGATTAAATGAAATTAAAGAGAATTAGAAGGTGAGTTATTTCATCAAATTCTAGGCATGGAATATTCACAATCATTTTAGAACCCTCGTGTCCTTTATATTCTATGCAGAAGTGTGTGTGCTCCAAATGCTCCTAAGTTTCCCTAAATTTTTATAGCTAACTTTTGCTAGGGCAAAGAAGGTGTTTTTTGTTTTTGTCTCTATGATATAGTGGAAAGAATGTAGGACTGGAAATAAGACCAACATGTAGCCTCAACTGAGTCACCAATCTTGTTCATCCCTCAAGTGCATCCTCTGCAGAGTGTTATCAGCCCCTTCCCGGTCTAACTTGGGAGTTAAAGGTTGCAACTCTGGTCCACTAGTAGTTCACTCTGAACCCCATCACAAGAGTTCCTGCCATTGCTATACAGCATAGCCCAGGAGGAGCCTTTTCCTAAATACTCTGCTCAATAGACACCCAGTGTCATTCCATGAATCAGATAGTTCTACCTGACCACAGTGGGCTAAAACAGGTCATCTGATACAGAATTCTATTTAATTATGAATGATACATAGAAATATAAAGTCTAATATAATACACTCATAATCCCATCACTCAGAATCACACTTTTTAAAAATTCAGTAAAGAAGTTGTGCAATAAGAGAGAAAAGAGGAAAAGCTAGTTAAGCAAGAAATCTTTGTTTAGCACCTGTATCTCCCGTGAGATGGTTTATGCAGAAATATTTCTCAAAAGCCTATTGTGTGCCAGGTGCTGAGGCTGCAGTGATGACTAAGAATCAGTCTCTGTTAGCAGTCTAGTGGGAAAGACAGACAAGTAATAAGGTGCAATACAGTGTGGTAAGTGTTAATTAAAGGAACTCACAAGAGGGGCCCTTAACCCAGCCTTGGAGTGTTGAGAAGGCTTCACACATGTGAAAAGGTCCTGTCTGAATGGACTCCTGAAGGATGAGTTCTTCGGATTACGAGAGATAGTAGATGTGGACTGCTGGCTCTGAGGACAGCAAGGGCAAAGCCCTGGGGATGAGGGACAGCATAACCCATTTAGGGAACAGCAAGTGGTATGATATGGCTGAAGCAAAGGGTTTGATGGGATGTCGAAATATGAGGCAGAGTATGTAGCAAGATTATTCGGGAAGGAGAACTTATTTGCCTTGATAAAGAGGTTGGGACTTTATTCTAAAGGCAATAAAGACCCACTGAAGGGCTTTAAGTAGGTGACTGAAATAATCACATTCACAGTTTAGTAACGTTAACTCTTGTGACTGTGGAAAATGGGTTACATGGGCAACTTTGTAGACATGGAGACTAGTTAGCTGGGAGGCTATTGCACTTACTCAGGTAAGAGAGGATGGACCAGTGACCTAAAATATGGCAGTGAGAATAAAAGAAATGGATGGATCTGAAACAACCATAAGTTAAAATAGAAAGGACACTGGGGCTGAGGAGGAGAGAGTAGTCAGGGGCTCCCCCTGAGACAGGGACTGGAGAAGGAGGAAGAGGTGGGGGAAGGTGATAAGTTCAAGGTAGAACGTGTTATCTTTGAGATGCCTGTGGAACGCCTAAGTGGAGATTTCAGTTGCAATTGAACATAGAATAGGAGAGGTAATAAGAGTAATCACATTTAGCACAGGGAGATCAGCACCATGCTCTGTGACCACCTAGAGGGGTGGGATAGGGAGGGTGGGAGGGAGACGCAAGAGGGAGGAGATATGGGGATATATGTATATGTATAGCTGATTCACTTTGTTATAAAGCAGAAACTAACACACCATTGTAAAACAATTATACTCCAATAAAGATGTTAAAAAAAAAAGACAAAAAAGAGTAATCAAATTTGAATGCAACAAGAGAAGGTAAGCATTGCTTACGCGAGAAGACCAGAAGCCATCGGTATGTGAAAAGAAGCATCTGTCTAGGTGGGTTGTCATCCATGACATGATAGAACTTATCCTTGAGAAGTAGTTGTAATCCATAGATGGAAGCATCAGGCCCAAGGGAATGATACCTGAGAAGTGGGCTTTTAATGCAGAATTTGGGCACAGCAGGAGTAGAGGCTGATGCAGGGGAACAGTCACTGAAAGCAAGTAGAGGAATGAGCTGGAAGTAAAAATAATTGTGAGGATTAGAGCTGGAACAGAACTTCAAGTCTCTTATTTTACACATATTAAAGATTAGAAAGGTTGAGTTGCACAGATTTTAAAAACCAGTTAGAGCTAGATTATGACCTAGATATTTTAAACCCCAGTTCTCTCTGGTTTACCAAACAATAGTTTAAAGCTGTTTATCAGAGAATCTCTGTTCTGGTATTCTTTAACTAGACATTTCTTATGCTAATATTTCCATACACTGATCTTTCAACTATGATTTATATTTGCAATGATGTCGCACAGGCTTGCAAATCCCCTACACACTTTCTGAATTGTTAGAAATGGTGGGAGGAGGGAAGAAGAAAGTGGTAGTGGTCACTGTAAAGACCAATTAATGATGAAGCTAATGAGGCTCATGTGATTCCTTCCAGGATGTGTCCTCGTGAGTGATACCATGATTATAAAATTTAGTAAAAATTTATAAAGATAACATTTTTTGTATTTTTCCATTAAACTTCCCAAATTGTGTATACTTCAGGCTCCAGGAAACCTAGATTAACCCCAGGCAGCAGTACCTAAAGTTAAGAAGTAAAATGAGGACTGGAATGGAATATTTCATACAATGGACTATTACTCAACCATAAAAAGAATGAAATAATGCCATTTGCAGCAACATGGATGGACCTAGAAATTATCATATTATGTGAAGTAAGACAGAGAAAGACAAATATCATATGATATCACTTGTATATGGAATCTAAAATAATGATACAAATGAACTTATTTACGAAACAGAAACAGACTCACAGACATAGAAAACAAATTTATGGTTCCCAAAGGGGATAGTGGGGGGAAGGGGATAAATTAGGAGTTTTCGATTAACATATGCACACTACTATATGTAAAATAGGTAAACAACAAGGACCTACTGTATAGTGCAAGGAACTATCTTCGATATTTTGTAATAACCTATAATGGAAAAGAATCTAAAAATATATATATATATTATTTTTCAGAAGAATTTCGTATGTATTTTATATATATGTATAACTGAATCACTTTGCTGTATACCTGAAACTAACACAACATTGTAAATTAGCTATACTTCAAATTTTTTAAATGGTAAAATTTTTTTAAAAATGAGGATCAAGATGCATACTCAAAACTTAGTGGACCAAAACCCCAGGCAACAAAAGAAAGAACAGGTAAATTGGACTTCATCAAAATTTAAAACTTTTGTGCATGAAAGGACTTCACCAACAGGGTCAAAAGGCAACCCATAGAGAAAATATTTGCAAATTATATATCTGGTAAGGGATTAATATCCAGAACTTATGAAGAACTATAACTCAACAATAACAAAACAACACAACTGTAAAATAGGCAGAGGACTTGAATAGACATTTCTCCAAAGAATATATACAAATGGTCACTAAGCACATGAAAAGATGCTCAAGGGCTTCCCTGGTGGCGCAGTGGTTGAGAGTCCGTCTGCCAATGCAGGGGACACGGGTTCGTGCCCCGGTCCGGGAAGATCCCACATGCTGTGGAGCGGCTGGGCCCATGAGCCATGGCCGCTGAGCCTGCGCGTCCGGAGCCTGTGCTCCGCAACGGGAGAGGCCACAACAGTGAGAGGCCCGCGTACCACGAAAAAAAAATGGTATTAAATATCTACAAAAATGCATGACAAGTGGGGTTGGCCAGGTGATCTCCAAGGAACCTTTTGTTCTCATCTGCATCACATTGTTAAGCCTCTTG